TTCTTTCATTTCTCATCCAAATGCTTTGTTGCATGACAAAAAGAAAAGAAAAGCGCGCCAAGCATCATTGTTGTTTGTTTCTGTGTAAGCTTCATGGATTTGTTTCTTAACCACAATTGCTTTTTAGATTGACTCCGGTGTTCAGTTTAGAACTTTTAAAGCAATAATGAAATTATGAGAAATTGGGGAGAAGTTAGGTTGAGGTTAGCATTTTGTTGTGGTGATAGCCAAGGTTACCCCAATATTTGTTTATATACTACAGAAGTTTTGTTAGAGCTTCAACAGAGAAACTGTGGTTAGTATTAGGCTGAATGGTCACAATAATTAGGAAATGAAATTAAGTAAACTCTGGAGGACGATGGAAGACAGGAGGGCCTGGCGTGATGTGGTCCATGGGGTCACAAAGAGTCGGACTCAACTGTGTGACTAAGCGACAACTCATTAAAAAAAATTGCCATCAAGTTGCAGCCGATTTATAGCAACCCCATAAGGAAGTGGTCTCCCATCCAAGTACTGTCTCTGGCCATCTCTACTTGGCTTCTGAGATCTGACAAGATGAAGCTAGCCTGTGCCATCCAGGTTAGGGCAGTCATTCAAATACAAGCTCCTAAAAGTCTGCCTACCATATCTCCATTGCTTACTCTCCGGAACTTATAGGCAAGAGCTTTCTGAGTGTATGACAGGTCACTTGAGACTAAGATACCCTCGCTCAGGTTTCTGCTGCCACATAGTGCTTTTACTGATCAGTGTTTCACATTCACTTACAACAACCCTGTAAAGGAAGCCGTACTTACCCCAAATGTGGGAGAAAAGGGGTCTGAGAATGACTTGCCAAAGACAGGTGAGTTTTGAATCTAGGGCCCCCTGGTTTGGAGCTCATTCACTTAAGCACTGTGCTATAACCAGCTCCTTTGGAGGAAAACCTAATTCATAGAAAAACACTTAGATGTTTAATTATGTTACTTGCCCCATCCTGAAGTCTTAGCAGGGGTGACTAGCGTAGTTTTTTAGTGCTGTTATCAGTGTATTTGGTGCCTTACAGACTGCTCCCCAAGAACTTACAATCCATTACCAGTGGTTGTTCATTCGAGTTCAGCATCCTTTTCTTCCCAACATCAGCCACTCAGATGCCACAGGGAAACTTGTGAGCAGGCCAACTGGCAGCGGCCCTTCTTTGCTGACTGCCCTTGGCCTCTGACAGTTGCAGGCAATTCTGCCTTTGAGCCCAGGGGTCCCATTTGGCTGTCTTGTCTGATAGCCAGCAGCAGGCCTGTTCTCCATGAATTTGCCCAGCCCTGTTTTATGTCCAGCTAAGCTAGTGACCATCACTATATCTCAGCAGTTTGGTCTGCAGCTCTTCTACTGCTTGTGTGAATGAACATTTCCTTTTGTTCATCTTGAATCTCCCAAGATTCAGCAGTATTGAAGAGGGGAGAAAGTTCCACTTTTTCCATATCATCATGCCACAAGTAACTTTCTAGACTTGTATCGTGTCAGCCTTTGGTAAAACCAACAGTAGGGAAGATGGGTGTCAGGTTCTATAGTCAGATCGCACCACACAGCGCTTCATAAGAAGTATTCTGTTTATTGGTAGTTCATAACTATGACACTTGAACTTTTTTGTCAGAAATGGCCCAAAGCAGCAGGGCACCCCAAGTTATAGTAGTTTCAAAGCACCCCCCATTACAAGCATAAGCCAATAAGCATTGTGCATGGTCCTGCATGCGAAAGTGAGCTGTTCGTTCCCAGCAGATCAGGAGCAGCTGGAAGCCCAAGGTCAAAAAAGCATACACAGATAACAACCCAGACAGGAGACATTGTTAGTGTACCAGGAAAGGGGGATCACTCCCCACACATTCCAAAGACATGGCAGTGTTAACTGCCAATGGGAAAGGCAAGGAATAAATGTGAGTAAATGCAATAGCATTGGAAAGAAGGATGTTTCAGATGCATCAAGGTTTTTCATAGAACTGCATAAACTTTTAATCCATAGAGAGGCACCGAACAATCTGCATAGGGTGGAATTCTGCAGCTGGTAGTTTCTGTGGGTTGTAAAGAACTACTGAACAGTAGCTTAATGAGCCAAATAGAATATGTAGAACAAAGTTTGAGTCCAGTGGCACCTTTAAGACCACCAAATTTTATTCAAGGTATGAGCTTTCGTGTGTACACACACACTTCCTAAGCGTCCACTTGATAAGAAAACTAACAAGGTCCCTTCCCTTGCAGTTTCTTTGATCCCATCTTTTTATTCAAGATTTACCTTTGTTCCCTTGAGTTAGTTATTTTATCAGCTGCTCCAAGGGAAGCTGCAGTTTGGTGTTGCCTGCCTTTTGATGTTATGAATGCTTTTCAAAATTCTGCTACTAAGATGTGTTAGAATGATACACATAACTGCAGAATTTGTCTCCTGATTAGAGTTTTTTTGCAAAGTTGGGGGTTCTGATGAGCAACAGAAAGTTTGAGAACCCCCTAATGGATTCACCTGGTGCCCTTTTGCAGCTTGTGATGTTGTTAATGATTGATATGTATCTAATAATTTCGAAGTTCTGCATGAATTTGGCAACAGTTGCTGAATTTCTATGCAAAAAGGAATCTGTGTTTTGTGGTGCTGCTGCAAAGGAAGAGCATTCGGAGCTGTTACAATGTCTCCCCTCATGAGAAGGGAGGGCAGGAAGGGTTGCATCAGTGCTTAGTTCTTGTAGCCCTTTTTTACACGCCCACGGAAATGGCCAATCGCCACTTTGGGGTCAGGAAGCAATTTTTCTCGAGGCCAGTTTGGCTGGCGATCCTGGAGGTTTTTTGTCATCTTCTGGGCGTGGAAGGTATTTGTGTGTTTCCTGCATTGTGCAGGGGGTTGGACTAGATGACCCTGAAGGTCCCTTCCAACTCTATGATTCTATGATTCTTGTGTTGTGTTGTGTTGACATCTCTTTTCAGCACCTCTTGGGCTTGTCAAGCAGCTGAAGGATCCTTTTGGGCTAAGGGGACAGGGACCCAGCACAGGCTGTGGCTGGCCCTTTAGCAAATAGTAAGTTCTTCAAACTGGATAAGCCACAGTTTAAATACGTGATGTGCGGGAAGAATAAGGTTTTGATTTTTGAAGTTCATAAGTTAAGAAAAATAATGAAGAGCTTTCTTGTGGCTCCTTCTTTCTCAGGCAAGCCCACATAGGCAAAAGCTTGAAAAACATGAATGAAATTCAGAGATCCTGTAGAAGATGCTGGGCCTTATCCTGTTTTCTTCCCCCTAGCAAATGGTCATCTTTTGATGGGTGGGCAGTGGGGAGGGTCCTGCATCTTGTAATGGTGGCACCAGCTGAGTTACCCTTATGCTTTATTTTTTTATAAAAGCTGCTAATTTTCCATTCTTTGAATGTACTAACACTTTGCACTAACACCTGTTCGACTCATAGCTGGCTTTATAAAGTCGCCCCTGTCTCAAAAGAAGCTGACTGAGGACAGTGTGGAATTGCACTGCGAGGCCATCGGCAACCCCATCCCAGAGATCCAGTGGTGGTTCGAGGGGGCAGAGCCCAACGAGACCATCGTCCAGCTGTGGGACGGTGCCTGGCAGGATCGGGTCGCCATCAACGCCACCTACAAGCAGCACTCCACCAGCACCATCTCCATCACCAATCTAACACTCAACGACTCCGGCACATACGAATGCCGGGCCAGCAACGACCCCGACCGCAACCACTTGTCGAAGAGCCCCAAAGTCAAGTGGATACGTTCCCAGGCGAACGTGATTGTCATTGAGCGTGAGTGGTAGCCTTGAGGTGTTGGCGCTTGCTCGAACATTGAGATGTCTCAAGCTTTGCCACATCTCTGCCACGCTTCACCTATGTCCTGTGACTTTCCTAGAATCCACTTGCACCTTCATGCCCCAACCGCGTAGCAGTTTGAGAGACTTTCCATCCCTCTGTTGCTCTCCCTCACTACTAGTGAGTGACCCACCTTGGCCCTACTCAAAAAGGGTTGTAGCTTCCTCTCAGAAACATCACCCAATGATCCTGGATCCATTAGAAGAGCTCAGAGTGCCTCCCTCTTTCTCCCTAGTGCTCCTGTTCAGCATCTGCTGCCTGCAGACAATGGCAGACCAATGTTTTCCCTTCAGCTCTTTCCTTTTTCCTGGCCCGCATATGTACAGTCTTGCTTTGTTAGTGCTTTCCCACTTTGAAAATGGTACAACTCGTTGAGGGGTGGAGGATGTTTAAAACCTTTGCATGTTCTTTGTAGTAACTGCAACCATTTTTGAAATGGCCACTCTGAGTTTGTGTAACACTGGTAATGTGGCTAACTGTGTGTGCTGTGCTCCCCCTTCCTGTGCAGAGCTGAACGTCCACTTTTCAGACAGCAAGAAAAACCGCTTCAATGGCAAAAGAATCAAATGGCCCACTAGAAATTTGCGATCTCTCAGCTGTGCTCCCCCTTCCTGTGCAGAGCTGAAAGTCCACTTTTCAGACAGCAAGAAAAACTGCTTCAATGGCAAAAGAATCAAAGGGCCACTAGAAATTTGCGATCTCTCAAGTTTGGATTGCAAGGAGAGGAGTGTTTTCACTCCGACCTCTTGCTGTGGCATCCTCTCTCAGAAGCTTTGACGCTCTCGTCTGGGAAAACCCTGAAGTTCATGGGGAGCTTATTTGGGGCTTCCTTAATGAAAAAATTCTTTAGGAGGCAAATTGCAAGAGTGTCTTTCAGCCCTGTTGGATTCCTTTTCCCTGGAAAACGGGTGGTGAAGAGATGTTTGTCCTGAATTGGTTTGGATATGTAGGGGGAGGAAATCCTACACCAGCTTTGTCTTGGAATGCAAACTGTGGTTGAACCTGATGGTTGACTAGGATGGACTCATTTGGGTGCTTCAGGGATTTGTAATATGGAGGGCGGGAGGACAGTTGTTGAACTGAGTTCTGAAGGTGTGGGTTTTATACAGTGCAATAACTTTACAGGAGGGGGAAAGCAGGTAAAATCATCTGCTATCCATCGTACTTGCTCTTTTCCTGGAGCCACCTGTGATAAGTACTTAAAAGATTTTTATGGGCCCCTCTAAAATATTCTGGGTGTGTGAAACTGCACATTGGGACTAGAACGGTGCATGAATGCCATGATGGATCCTTTGGGAGGGTCCATCTAGGGATCTAAATGAGCATCATCTATTGTGGTATGCCCCACAAAAACACAAATATTGTGTCCAGGATAAACTATGCAAACTGATCAGATTTGCATGCATTTCACACGCTTTCTTTATTCTGATAGCAATATTTGGAGTTGGCCAAGGCTGGAATGACGGTAGGAAATGGAATGTGTGAGGAAGGGCTTAGAAGCCTCCCACTTCTCCCCCACCCCTGGCAACCCCTGGAAGCTCTCCCTGGAATCCAGTTAGTTGGCTGTATTTGTAGTCATTGCTGACCCCATGTCTTCACGCTGTTCTCCACAACTGAGCCTCCTGTGCTGCAAATCAAAACCTTGAGGCGATGCAAAGGCGAGAATCAAGCCATTATGTGATAGCATTTCCTATGCTTCCCTTCTTACATTTCAGCAGGTAACTCAGGCTCAGCAGTGCAGGCAAGCATGTTTTGTTTTCCTTCTTGCTGAGACTGCCATCTTGGCTGTGTCTTACACTAACCTCGCTTTGCTTTCCTTCTCAAAACCCAGGCCCCACAATCACAGTCTCACAAGACCTGACTGATAGCTCAGACCTGGTCCTTTCTTGTAACATAAGTGGAGCACCAACAGAAATCAAAGGTCATTACTGGATGAAGTGGGACACCAAGATTCAGTCGGATGAAACTTCTGACGACTTCACTTCCTACACGTAGGTATTTTGGGATCACTGTGTATGCGTGCTTTCCTCCCAAGCCTTCTTGTGTGTGTTTGTACAGAACATATTGTCTCACATCAGTCAAGTGGAAAGTTGCCTTCAGATCTGGAACAGTGAAACAAGTTGCTTGACCTGCAGGAATCTTGAACGTGTTGGAGCAGGATGGAAGCCAGAATAGAAATGGCCAGTACAATGGGGGCACGGGATGTTTTTGGAGGCAGAGAACAGAGGGGGTGAATGCTATCATCAAGGTGAGAGGTGAGCTTTCACCCAGGTGGGGCAGCGTGGAAGGGCTGTAAACTTAGCTGTCTTGTAAAGAGAGCGGTACTAAATATGGGTGGGGGAGGAGGCAGTCTTTCTGCCTGTTGTTTTAGGGTGGGAAAGTGGGTATATGAATGATGTGCCTGGAGAGGAGAAGGCTTGGGAGGAAAGCAAGGGTAGAAGTGAGCCAGGAGTAGGTCCCTGGGGCCAACCACCCAGGGTTGAGGCAAAAGAGGAACAGAGTTTCCCCCTGTGAAAATGTTGAGTGTCTGTGATTTGACAAGTAAGAAGGTAAGAGTTTTAGAAACCATGAAGGGAAGAGAGTTGAGTGAGAGAGTTTAGTCATTTGGATGAAGCACAGCAGTGGTGTCAAGGAGGCTACAGGCAGAGCAAAGACCTCTAAGCTTGGCCATGAGATTGCACTAACAGTGGCTAAAGGAAAAACAGCTTCCTCCTGTGAGTCAGCAATGGGGAGGGTGAGGGGGTGGCCTTTCTGCCTTGCTTTTGCCCCTCGTAGGATCATTTGGGTGATGACTGCTAGCAACTGTTGACCCAGCAGGGCTGTTCTCATGTTCAGCACCCAACCAAACCCCCATGCCCTGAACATGCAGAGGGTGCTGTCTTGCTGGCACCAGTGCACATACAATGGGAGCAGCGGTCCTTGAAGGAAATCCGGAGGACCTGGCAACCACACCCGCCTAAGGCAGAGCTCTTTCTGGCAGCACACTCCAGTCATCCTTAAAATTCCACCAAGATTTCGAGATCATTGTTTGCCCTAAAATTTGGCTTTATTCTGGGAGCCTTTGCGCGTGCTGATTATGAGGCCTGGTTGCTCATCAGGGAAAAGCTTGTAAACAAGTTCTGAAAAGGTGGGAGCACCAGTTGTTCCCGTGTCCTCATCTTCTATTTGTATCTGACAGCATAAATGGAATTTAAACTTTAGTGTATTAAGCATATCTTAGGTATTTGGGGAAAGAGTGAAGTCATTTTTTTCTGAACAAAGGAAAAAACGTCCTCCCACCCCCCAGACCACCCTTCTGTCTGCAGGGCCTGGGCAAGCTGGTCCACCACAGGGTTTGGGTGTTCAGTAAACACGCTGCAGAGCACTGGAACCAGCAGCCACCCTGCTTAAAAGGAACCAAGTTATCCAGGATGGTCCTGTGGAAGGTAGGGGCTGCTACTTGGTGGCAGCAGAAGCATACAGGAGTCGTGTGGCTCCTCAGAGAGTGGGGTCTATTGCAGTGGAAGCTTTTTGTGGACTTCCGACTACTTCACCAGATGCATGAACTTCTATCGCAATAAATTAGTAAGACTCTTGATCCCTCAAGACTCTTTTTTTAGTTTCCTGGTCTGTTCAGAACCATTGTGGACAAAACCTCCTTTTCCTTTGATGATGGAGATCTTTCTCCATGAGTCCTGAGTCCAGCCTGCCATTCTTCATTTGGCTTGCTTAGTTCCTGAGTAAATTGTCCTGGCAGTGCAAATCCAAACCTGTCTTTTGACAAAATTGACGGGTGTTTTTTTCCCCCCAAACTTATTGTGTGTGTGTGTTCTCATGTTTAACACAGGATCTGGGCAAGTCTTCTGCCATTCAGGAGAACAGAGCATGGAGCTATCCACATGCATTTGGAATCCAAAGGGAGAATTCGGTTTCCTGCAGAGCTCTTCCCTTTCCTCCTCTGTTAAGTGCCTGTCCTCTGCGGCCAGCCTAGCTTGATGGCTTGCAGCCAAAACCTTCATGGTCCCAGGGGCTGAACTCTCACCCCCATTGTAATGGCAGCAGCAGACTTTCAGTGCCCATGACTTTCTCTCTCCCAGTTGGCACAGGCTGGAGAGGCGGGTGGTGAGCAGACGTGCCTCTCTCCCCATAGCCTCAGGGATCTGAACAAGGATTAAAGTATTTATAACCCAGCCTCCCTTGCGTGCCCTCAATTCTCTAACTGGACAGTTTGTGTTGAAATGATGGAGAACTTCTGACTCAACTCAACAAAACAGGTTCTTCTCCCTCCCTCCAGCAGCACAGCAGCCCCTCCCTAATGGACATCCCCCTTCCCCCCGCCATGATCTGGCTGATCCATGAAATCCAGTCAGAAGAAGCTTCCCTAACTGAGCTGTCAGTGTCAGGATTCATTGTAGGTTCAAACTGGATTATTTCCCCCCCACTGATGGGATTTCCTTTCTTGCTTTTAAAAGCTCTTGCGTGTATTTGGAAGGACCTCATTCCATGGAGGGGAATTAATTCTGAAAGGGACTCTCTGTAGTGCTGCCTGCTCCCAATCCCGCCTGTGGATGCTTGTTCTGTAAGCCTATATGGGAGTAAAAGGGTCTGCCAGCGTGGGGTCCTCTCTGACTTTTTAAAGCCAGCGAGATGATGGAGCACAGAGAGGAGACAGAAGTGACATTCCAGTATTGCAGTTGCAGTACATAAGGGACTGCAGACGTTCTCGGGGGGGAAAGCACTGATCCGCCCTGACCTGGATGGCCCAGGCTAGCTTGTGTGTTCTCAGAGGATGCACCTGGGAGAGGAAGGAGACTGTAGCCGTGGAGGAGAAGGCTGGAGAGTGAGGGAGCCTGCTGGCGAGGGTTAAAAAGAAATAACAAAATGGTCAGAGCCAAAGAGCAGGGAAGGAATGGAAGAAAGGCATGAAGGAGAAGGTCAGGAAAGGGAAAGTAAAGTAAGTTAGATCACAGCCTGCCTGTCTTGAAAAGGAATTGTCTTTGATGGACAGTGGAAGAAGGTTTGGGGGAAGACACCAACTCAGACGGCGAGCCAAGGGTGCCCCCTGTTTCCTGACAGCTCTTGGAAAGGGAAAGTAGTCAAGGGTTATTTGAGCCACTAATGCTCTGAGCGTAATAGGGCAGGAAAGGAAGTTGTTTACAGTGCAGGTCTCCGTTGTGAGGGGATGCCCGTGAATGGGGATGTGTACAGAGTTTATCATGGCCTGGGTGTGGGGGATCGAGAATCACTGGAAGGTCCTTCATGAGGGTCCTGGGTAGCCGCCTCATGGGAACCAGGCTGTTGGCTCTTGTAAGCGCGTTTCATGGCACGTAGCCCCATTCATGAGTTACTGGTATGATACAAGATGGGCTCTCCCTGTTCCCTGAAGGCCCTGGGAGCTGGTGGAGCTCTGTGGCTTCCAGCAGGGAGGAGCTCTTGGGGCAACAGTGATCATGAGCCAGAAGGATATTTTGTCTCATATTCTGGGATAAAATATGCATTTTTGCTGTTCTGTTCTGTTCCAGACCTGGACTTCAGCTGTTGTCTGCCTGTTCAGGCATTCCTGGCTTTTTTTTGGTAATGTTCTTTGTGATCCACTCACTCCTCCTTACAAGCTTGTCTTTGTTGCAGGTTAGAGAAAGTGGATCATGAGTCTTCAGGAGAATACAACTGTTTCTTCGAAACAAACCCAATCTCAAAAGGGACTCTGTTTGTGAAAGGTAACTGTTTTGGGGTGTGCGTGAGCCCACCGTAGTTTCCTCTCTGAGGTGAATGTGAGAGTAAAGAATTTGATGACTCGGCACTTCAGTGAGGAACAAACTATTCCATCTGCATCAATAATAAGAGAAGCAGCAGCTGCCCCTTATTCCTTGAAAGCAGAGGAGGAGGATTAGAAGAAGAAGAGATTGGATTTATGCCCCGCCCTTCACTACCCAAAGGAGTCTCAGAGCGGCTTACAAACTCCTTTCTCTTCCCCTCCCCACAACAGACACCCTGTGAGGTAGGTGGGGCTGAAAGAGCTCTGACAGAGACTGTTCTTTTTCAAGAACAGCTGTGCCAGAACTATGGCTTGCCCAAGGTCATCCAGCAGGTGCAAGTGGAGGAGTGAGGAATCAAACCTGGGTCTCCCCGATTAGAGTCTGTGCACTTAACCACTACACCAAACTGGCTCACAGTTAAGGTTAACAAATACTTCTACCCCAGGAGGGGTTACTTCAGCCCTCCAAAATATTCCACTACAGTAACTAACCCATCTGGCCAGGTATGCCCAGTGATTACCTTATGGCTTCAGCACCCTGAAGGAGAAAGCAAATGCCAACTGTGGTCCAGGTTATAGAAATTCCCAGCCCCACCCCCTCGTCACTGGAAGACGGTCCTTCTTCGCCACAACCCGGTTAACTGCACAAGCTGGGCCTTGCTCTTTGCTCTCGGCCTGTTTTTTTCAGGCATCCCAGCAGCAAACAGCATTGAGGTTAGGGGTGTGAGAAAAAAATGATATTTTTCAATTTTGGGTAAATAGAACGAAACCGTCCCCCACCCCACCCCCAGTATTTCTCGATATTCCCAATAAGCAGAATAGCTGAATTTATTCGGCTCCATTATACCCTATGGGGACCGTCCCCATAGGGTATAATGGAGAAGGGAGTGGGTGAACTCACACCGCTTCTGGATTCACTCGCGCACAGATTGGCTTTGCAAAAAATATTTAAAGGGAAAGTTCCCTTTAAATTACTTTTGCAAAGCCAAACTAGCCTGCGCCACTGCCGTGGATCTTGATGAAGGCATTTAGCTTTAAATGCTTTCTCAAAGCCACTGCTGCAGCAGCAGCACAGGCGAGTAACCTCAAAAGACACTTAAACTTTAAATGCCTTCTGACTTCAGTTCTGTCACCAAGTCGCACCACTGCCACTGTGGCCGGACTCATGAGTGAACTCAAAAAGCATTTAAAGTTTAAATGCCTTCTGACTTCAGTTCTTCTTGGTGAGTGAAGCTGAGCCCGAATAATATTGGCTTTTATTCAGGCTCAGCTAGAGAATCTGATTCGGCTGAATAAATACCCATATAATGTAGATAAGGTATTTTGGGGGTATTTATCAGGCTTGGTGCACACCCCTAATTGAGATATTAGCCGTTGCCACTCAGCGGGGTCTCTGTCTTTTCAGCTGACCTGTTGCATCTTTTCCCCCCTTTGCAGTTCAACCTCATGTGGTTGCCTACAAGAAGTCAGAGCAGGGGAACGAGAAGGATACCGGGGTCCTCATTTGCAAGTCTTCATCTTACCCCCCCGTCACCCAGTGGTCCTGGTTCAAGATGGTGGATGGGGCCCAGGTAGGCTTGTCAGTGGAAGCAAACATCTTCCTCTCTGCCCCTGAGATCCCTGGATGTGACCCTCATGGATAATGGAATAATGCTGGTGGTGGTAGGAATGATAATAGGAATGACTGGTAATAGGAATGATGCCGTTGGTCTGCCCTTTGGAGGCTGGCTCTTTCAGTGCACACCAGTGTTTCGTGGCTGAGCGGGTGTTTGGGGGGAGATGAATCACTACATTGTCCGCATTTTTCTTGCACCTTTTAAGAACAGCCATGGAGTTGCTGTTTGAACTTCAGACACAAGATCGCGTCTTCTGAGTGTACACAAGCTTTCCTCCCGTGGTTTCTGCCTTCTAGGTGAATACCACTTTACAGTGTCTTACGCACTTGCCTTCGCTTCCAACACAAGTGGGGTAGTGCCGTGGCCTGCCCTGCAACAGTGGTTCTGTGTGAATGCAGAAATCTTGGTTCAGTGCTGGCTTCTTCCCTGGCACTGTCTTGCCCAGCTGCAGAGCGAAGGTTGTGAACCCACCATTGGCCGAGACAAACCTGGGCTTCAGTGGTCACCTGCAAGCTGAATCTTGGTTTCACAAAATTAAAATAGACTGTTGTGTCTCAGCAGAGCTTGTGTGTAATTGGCTAAGTGAAATACAAGCAGTTTTAAAAACTTAGTCTGAATGCATGATGCCTTTTTTTCCCCTTAATACAGCAGTCTACCTCTCACAGAGTTAATTATAAATTTCACCACACTCCTTTCCACTAACAGTTGGATCTAGTCTTTCAAATAACTGGAATAATAAATTTAGAGTCCAGTGGCACCTTTAAGACCGACAAAGATTTATTCAAGGTATGAGCTTTCGTGTTTATGCACACGTTTGTTCTCTTTCTCACCAGAGCTGCTTACAGGGTGGGAAGACTTTTCTCCAGTTTAAATAAGTATATATCAGGACCTTGCTTCCCCTGCAAAGGTTTTAGGAGGAATGTGCTGCCCATTTTGCAGGAGTGTTCTCTACAGCAGGGGTGGCCAAACATGCGGCTCTTTCACACATGTTGTGTGCCTTCTGGCAGGGTGGCTGGGGAAGCGAAGGGGAGGCATGCCTCCCCAATTGGTCTTCTCTTCCCTAGCCAGTGTTCCCCTCCCTGGGTAGGCTTGAGGTAGGGGGAATCAGAGAAGGAAAGCAACTAAATGCTTTCTCAAAGCCTCCCCCTGCCAGCCAGCTTGGAGAAGGCATTTGTCTCTTTAAATCCCTTTGCCAAGCCAGCCAGTGTTGGGGCTATGTGGAAGTTCAGAGGATGTATTTAAAGTTAAAGTTTTCTTTCCACCTCTTGTTCCCTCCCCCATCTATTTGCTTTCTTTCCACCTTTCTATCTTTCTTCCCTCCCTCCCTATCTAAAGTTAAATGTGTTCTCCAAGCCCCACCACACCGGCAGACTGGCTTGGCTCAGTGTTGTCTCTTTAATTTAATATGCAATTTTGCGTATTTTTTCAATAAAAATGTATGCGTTCATGTCTTGTGGCTCTCAGACATCTGATGTTTATTCTGTGTGACTCTTACGTTAAGCAAGTTTGGCCACCCCTGCTTTACAGACTTGAGCACTGGAAACTTGTTTGCAAAACAAAAGCTGAGACCTCTCTTTGATCCCTTGTGTTTTCATTCCCCCTTTCCCCATTATCTACATAATTTTTTATCACACGGCGTTCTCCACAGAGTTCAGCGTGGCGTGCAAGGAGTCTTTCCTCCATTGTTTTATCCTCACAATAACTGTGAGGTAGATTAGGCTCTGCGTGTGTGTGTGAGACAGTGTGACTGGTCTGAAATCTTTACCCAGCAAGCTTCATGGCAGAGTGGATTTGAACTCGGGTCTCCCCTGTCCATGTCCTGTGTCCACTGCTCTGGTTCTGCTACTTTTGCAGCATAAGCTAAGACAGGCAAATAGACGGGGGGGGTGCACTTCTTGCTGGGATGCCGGAGTGGGATAATATTATAAGGTAAGAACTCCCAGCAGCCAAGCCAAGCCAAGGGAGAAGGGTTTTGGACAGTTTTCTTCTTTAGTTCTGTCTTGATTCCCTTCGGAAGTGTGCCGGGTCTAAGTAACTTGTTTGCAAAACAAAAGCTGAGACCTCTCTTTGATCCCTTGTGTTTTCATTCCCCCTTTCCCCATTATCTACATAATTTTTAATCACACGCCGTTCTCCACAGAGTTCAGCGTGGCGTGCAAGGAGTCTTTCCTCCATTGTTTTATCCTCACAATAACTCTGTGAGGTAGATTAGGCTCTGCGTGTGTGTGTGAGACAGTGTGACTGGTCTGAAATCTTTACCCAGCAAGCTTCATGGCAGAGTGGATTTGAACTCGGGTCTCCCCTGTCCATGTCCTGCGTCCACTGCTCTGGTTCTGCTACTTTTGCAGCATAAGCTAAGACAGGCAAATAGACGGGGGGGTGCACTTTTTGCTGGGATGCCGGAGTGGGATAATATTATAAGGTAAGAACTCCCAGCAGCCAAGCCAGGGGAGAAGGGTTTTGGACAGTTTTCTTCTTTAGTTCTGTCTTGATTCCCTTCGGAACTGTGCCGGGTCTGAGTTAGATATGCCATACAGTGAGGTGCAAAGTTCTCCATCCTTAATAATTTCATGTAAACACATAGCATGTGATAGCTAGACTTCAAACCTTTCTCCCTGGTATGCTAACTTTTGTTTTGCTGATTTTTAATGTGGCAGAATAGTAAAAAGGCAAGCCTGTCCCCTTCTCCCCCAGTCTGAAGTGGGTACACCTGACTGTATCGTGAGTGGAGCTGACATCTGCCTTTCAGCTTTTATCAGATTTAAAACCAGATTAGATTCTGACCCTGACCCTCAGCTGATGAAGGGAAGAAGAAGAAAAGAGATTGGATTTATACCCCACTTTTCACTACCCAAAGGAGTCTCAGAGCGGCTTACAAACTCCTTTCCCTTCCCCTCCCCACAACAGACACCCTGTGAGCAATGCTCCCTTTAAGCTGTGGAGTCTTGTGAGGAAAAATTCTACGTTGTGAGCTACTGGCATTAAAGTTGTGAGTGGGCGATTTGGCTACTGCATAAATTAGTTTGCTCTGGAGCCGTCCTTCCTGAGCTAAGACAAAAATCTGTGAGCTGGAGGCTAAAAAACTGAGCTAGCTCACACGAACTCAGCTTAGAGGGAAAACTGCCTGTGAGGTAAGTGGGGCTGAAAGAGCTCTGACAGAAACTGCTCTTTTTCAAGAACAGCTGTGCCAGAACTATGGCTTGTCCAAGGTCATCCAGCAGGCAGTGTTCCCTTTAAACTGAGTTAGTGTGAGCTAGCTCACAATTTTTTAGCCTCCGGCTCACACATTTTTGTCCTAGCTCAGGAAGGATGGCTCCAAAGCAAACTAATTTATGCATACGCAAATCTGTTGCTCACAACTATGCCAGTATCTCACAAAGTAGAATTTTTCCTCACAAGACTCCACAGATTAGAGGGTGCATTGCCAGCAGGTGCAAGTGGAGGAGTGGGGAATCAAACCCAGTTCTCCCAGGTTAAGAGTCCGCACACTTAACCCACTACACCAAACTGGCTCACTACACCAAAGCGGCTATTCTTCCCTCACAGCCCATTGTGAATGGTACAGAGGACCGATTCTTCATCAAATCCGATAGCAACAAGACGGAGCTGCGAATCTTGTCCCTGGACCTTGAGAAAGACCCAGGCGAGTACAGGTGTAACGCCACCAACGAGATTGGCGAAGACAGCACCATTGTGGTTTTGCGGGTTCGCAGCCGCCTGGCAGCTCTGTGGCCATTCCTGGGGATCGTGGCTGAAGTGCTAGTTCTCGTCACGATTATCTTCATCTACGAGAAGAGGAGAAAGCCCGACGAAATCCCCGATGGTGAGTAGTGTTGCGTGGGGGTGGGGTGGAGAGGTTCCCTGGCCGTTAGTTGCAGGGCTTCCACCCAGGCAGGCCTCCGAACTGGAGCCGTTTCTTCAGTTTGAGAACCCTTCGGCAGTCTGTGTTGGTTTTCCATGGGAGAGAAACAGTGCTGTCTAGTCCTTTCCCAGACAGTGTGGCGGCAGGTGACCTTTACCAAAGCAGGTCTCAGGGGCTGCATCATGTCTGCCCAAAGAAGTTGTCCTCAGGAATCCAGGCAAGGTTGTTTTGAGAGCCACATCTGGCCTGCCTTCCAGTGGATTTGTGAACAGTGGAGTCTTAATTCGTTTGACAGGAGTACCTCAGGACCTTGGGCCAGTCTCTTCCCCAGGTAGTAGTGAGGGCATGCTGCCCCATGTTCCTTTTAGGTAGGAAGGAGAGGATAAAAGTGCCATGAATTAAATTCATGAAGCAAGTGTGTTTGGACTCAGATGGTCTTCACAGAGAAAGGCACAATTAATCTCTGTTAGATGACTTGGAATGCGAGACCCTGAGGCTGCTGTACTGGACCAAGGTCTGCTTAGTCCCCTCTAAGAATCCCAGCAGGCAAGGAATCAGAGTCCTCCTGCTTTCGTCTCCTCCCCTTGGGATGAGGCCTTGGAGGCAAGTTTAGGAGACAGAACCTATTTAATCATGGTGATTCTCCAAGTTGATGTTTTATTTCTACTGTCCTGGGACACTCTGTTTACCCTTTCTCTTCTCTGTGCATGTGACCTAATGCCCAGTGTTACATCACAATCCCCCCCCCTTTTTACTTCAATTGGTAACCAAATGCTGCTTCTTTTGAAAGAGAGGGAGCAGGAGAACGGTTGAGCTTTTCTTTGTAGCCCTGATGTGTAGGACTGTGATTTTCCTTTTCAAAGTCCACCTGCAGGATTCTGCCACTTTCCCTCTGGTTTACGTTCTGTAGGCTTTTTGGCCTTTGGAGCCCAAGGCCTCTAGATTCTGGATCTCAGACTCCTTGAAATGCTGCTTTGTTTTCTAGCGCTTTTAAACAGCCCTTTACTTGGGGAATGTTGGTGAGGGAGCTGAGGTCTGGTCATATAAGGCAGGGGCATTTTTGAGGACTGGCATGCGACGGTGGTTTCGTTGCTGGCATTACCTTTGCACTCTCTTCCTTTCTCTTCTGCTGCGGGTGCAACTGCTTGTGGTAAGTGGAAGAGCCAGCATCAGCTGTCCCCATACGTCAGTCTTCTCGCCAGCCGCTGTGTGATTGCTCTGTGACACTCTTGTGCATATTTCTAGTGTCAGGTCCCAGGCTCTGTGGAGAGATCTTGACTGATTGTTTGGTGTGTGTCTGGGGGGGAGGTCTTCTTTGTAAGGCCTGCGTGTCTCCTCCTGCACCACCAGCCATCCTCGTTCTGTTGCTGCAGCGCTTCTTCTGTGTTTGCTGAAAGATACAGAGCCCCCGTTGTGCTTCAGCCTTCTAACCGCCTCTTTGCTCGCTTGCTGTGGCTGCAGGATTGTGGGGGGGTTTTGGCAAACCCAGCAGCCTTGCCTCAGGGCCTCTTGATTTACTTAGCCCATTACTGTCTAAGCACTAAATAGCACTCCTGTTTCTCATGGTGGCCAGCCAAATACCCAGGGGAAACTCACAAAAGTATCATAATACCAGAAGGGTGGCCACGTTAGTCCATGGCAGTAAAATTAACAGGAGTCTAGTGGCATTTTATTCCAGCTTTTATGGAACTAGAGCCCACTTTGTCAGGTATCTCTTGTATCAGACCAAGGGGCTTCTAGTTCACAAAATGAAATCTTACTCCTAAGTGCAATGCTAGATTCCTGGTCTCCCCACCACCACCACACAGCATCACATGGTGATAGCAGTCCCCTGTATTTGGTTATTGGGGCAATCCTGCCTCTGAATATATAAATTCCATTCCTGGTTATCAAGAAGTGAAAGTCATCAGTAAACACAATAACAGTAATCTTGTCCAGTCATTTTTGAAAACTGTATCCACATGCTTGGCTGTAGACTTTGTAAGTTCAATCATACACTGTCTGAACACTTGGTTTAAATCTGTAATACAGCCTCAGCTGTGTTGTGTTGTCCAACATCCTGTTCTTTGAACAGAGGGGAGAGATTCCTTAGCACCCTTTCGGATTATAACCCCTGGTGATGCCCTCTGCACAACTGCCTGCGTTGGGTCTTTTGGATGCTAGACTTGCAGCATTTGATACAGCAGAGTTCATAGGTCCCTCAAGCGTAGCCTTAGGCAAATGCTGAACACACAAACAGCAGAGAGATGCTGGACCCACAGTTGCCTTTTATGAAGCTTTGACTTGATGACCACACTTCTTCTGCCACAGTTTTAACCTCCTCACCAAAAGTACTCTTACCTAGTCTGGAATGATATCACCCCTGATTTTGTGCTTGCTGTAGGTTCGGATTCTAGGTCTGAAAGACTGAATGGAATCCACTGTTTCTGCTACTCTTGAGTGTGACAGACACAGTGTTAAATTTAAATTGCTTTGAATATGACCCTGTCCCCTTGCCCTGGGAGTGTCTGGAAAATCTTCTT